GGGAGGGAGGAGTTTTGTCTTATTGCTAGCCTTTTCTTCCCAAGACTTGAGTGGAGGAGGGAGGCGGGAGGGAAGGTACTAAGGTAAGCTGGTTCTTGTTATTGTTAGTCTTCTCTTCCCAGGAGGGAGGGGAGGGGAGGGGAGGGGAGGGGAGGGGAGGGGAGGGGAGGGGAGGATGGAAGGAAGGAAGGAAGGAAGGAAGGAAGGAAGGAAGGAAGGAAGGAAGGAAGGAAGGAAGGTTGGTTCTGTGTTGTTGGTAATCTTCTCTTCCCTACATTTCTGTTGCCTATTGCTTCAACTCCTAGGATACATTTCATCCTGTTCTCAGGTTGGCGATGGCCGTTGCGTCCATGCATTGCTTCCGCTGTACTTCTCTGAAGGCGCACCCTTGGGTTCTCGTGGTTCAGTGTTGGTTGAAGCCAAGTGCGCGATGGCCTCCCTCTTATTCCCGCCAAGAGCCCCACTTTTTTTTTCCCTTTATTTTATTTTATTTTTTTTTAAGTTGTAGATTTACAATTTTTTGTGCTTTGGTTTCAATTATACAATGATCAGATACCCATCCCTCCACCAGTGCCCATTTTCCACCACCATGGATAATATCCCTCCCACCCCCATCCCCCCATCCCCCCTGTCTCTGTGGCAGGGCAATCCCCTGTGTTCTCTCTCTCCTTTTGGGTGTTGTGGTCTGCAAAAGAGGCATTGAGTGGCAAACATGTTCAGTCCATAGTCTACTTTCGACATGCATCTCCCCTCCTGGGAGGATCCTCCAAACATCCTTTATTTGGTGCTCCCTTCTCTATCTGAACTGCCCTTTCCTCTAGGATACCCAGCTGGCCTCTAAGTTATGGAGTAATCCTCCTGGTGCTGATCTCAGCTATTCTTGGGTATTAATCTCATACTTTGTTACTTTATATCCCCCAGATGAATGCAATCTTTCTATGTCTATCCCTCTCTTTCTGACTCATTTCGCTTAGCATGATACTTTCCATATTGTACCACTTGTATGTAAATTTCATGACTTCATCTTTTCTAAGAGCTACATAGTACTCCATTGTGTAGATGTACCAAAGTTTCTTTAACCAGTCATCTGTTCTTGGGCATTCAGGTTTCTTCCAGTTTCTGGCTATTGTAAAGAGGGCTGCAATGAACAAACAAGTGCAGATGTCACTTCGACTATACATTTTTGCCTCTCTGGGATATATTCCCAGGAGTGGTATTGCTGGGTCAAATGGGAGCTCAATTTCTAATTTTTTGAGAATCGTCCATACTGTTTTCCAGAAGGAAGAGCCCAAGAATCGTCCATACTGTTTTCCAGAAGGAAGAGCCCCACTTTTTCCCGTGGATCTTTTGCTTTCCTTTCCCATTTGAGTGTCCATTTCGTGGCCATGTTAGAATCCATCACCGAAGTTCTATCAGCAGCAGAAAAGTTTGAAATTCCATTTATTACAGAAAATGTATTAAAATTAGAAGACTCTGAGTAAACTCCCTCCTATGCGTTTCAAGCTTTTACATTATCCAGACATGTTCTTTTAACTGTTTTTTTTAATCGCCTACAAAATCCCTTATACACTGAAATATGTATTCGCCTCCTGCAGTTCAGTTTTATGTTCAGGTATTTGTTTGCTCTGCAGTTTTACTTCAAGTTAGTCTACCAATAGTCTCATGTGTGCTAAATGTTATGTTCAAGAGTGTTCGCTGAAGCACTATTTATAATAGAAAATCTGGAAGCATTTGCAATGATTAACTATAGGTTGTTGCCTGTTTGTCTGCTGAGGTACCGAGTAGTGGGCATTGGGTAAATGTTGAACAGAGGACGTGGTGAATGAGAGGGCAGAATAGCACCTCGTTCATGGAATTTCCAAAGGGGTGTGTGTGTGTCTGTGTCTGTGTGATACATTCATAGTCATGTCTGAATGTGTGTAGCATCTCTGGAATCGTATTCAGTAAACTGTGGCAGTCGGGGTGTGTGTGTGTGTGTGTGTGTGTGTGTGTGTGTGTGTGTGTGTGTGTGTGTGTGAGATATTCATAGACATGCCTGGATGTATGTAGCATCTCTGGAATCATGTTCAGTAAACTGGTGGCAGTCGGTACCGGTGGGTCACGGGAGTGAGTAGAAAGTGTGATGGCTCAAAATAAAAGTCTTCATTACTTTTAACTCTAAGTGGAAAAGCGAAACTGCACCTCAAGTGGAGAAAGCAGAGAAAGGGAAGGGTCATGGAAAATGCTCCCACCCTCCCAGCAACTATTCAGCATCTAACAAATCCCCGCTCCCCTTCCCCAGCCTCACCTCACCCAGCGCCCCTTCCCGCCCCTCCCGTGCAGGCTCCTCACGGTCCGGGCTCACTTCTGGAAATGGCTTCCCGCGTCTCGTGCAAGTAGACCTTTCTTTGACTAAGGGTGATCGCCTTCATAGAAACTTTGTTGAACTGTTCCATTTCAAAGGAATCTCGACCTAAGTTCAGCACCTCTCGCTAGCATTATTTCACATTTATTCTGTAATACTTTCACTTATTTTTCTTCCTGTTTTTTGCGAGTGTAGATTTAGAGAATATTCATCACCTCTGTCATACTTCCTTTATGCCACATCTAGCATTGACAGTAAAAGCTGTGGGAAAAAAAGAATGTCACAGATACTGTCGGCTAAAACTTTGGGTCTTGGAACATTGGTGGGGGGAAGAGGGCTCTGCGGAGGGGTGTGGGCGTTGGAACGATGTGTGCATAAAACTGTCGTTAACAGCGTTGTATATCATAGTACCTCAATAAAAGGAGGGGGAAACAAACCATTTGGAAGAGTCCTCAGAAGCCCTGTTTCTTGAGCATTTGACGAGCTGCTAGTGCACTGTGTGGAGAGAGACCCCTGAAGCGTCTCACGTACAGTACTTGAAGTATCTGAAGTACTCTGTTGGAGATAATTAGAGACTTGTGTGCGTTGTATTCAAATCAGTGTTCTTTGTCTAAGAGCATCACTAAGAAACACTCGATGCTAATATATTTAGCATTTAAGAATATTCTATAGCTTATACCTCAAAAGTTTGGGGTGGGACGAGAGGCCACACACAGCTGTGCTCAGGGCTTGCTCTTGGCTCTGTTCAGGGATCATTCCTGGTGGGGCTCGGAGGACTATATGGGGTGCCGTTGTACCGTCTCTCCAGCCCCTTTCACCTCAGATTTTTCTGAAAAAAGCATCAGACTTGCCTTAGTTTTAAGAGACCAAGAGGACATTCTTTGTTTCCTAGCTGCAATAGAGTTAATAGCATCATATTTCGTGCATAGGTGAAGCTCTGTTGGTAGACAGGCACACATTTATGACCTTTCTCCCAGATGAATTGACTTTGGGGTTTTTGTCTGGGAAGTTGCTGGCCTTGCTAGAAGGTTGCTCGTAGCTCAGTGCTCTGGAGTCACTGCCAGTGACGCTCTGGGGACTCTGCAGTGCTAAGTGGGGGTTGAAACCCAAACCCAGGACTATCGCATGCAAAACACGTGCCCCCGTCCTTTGCACTGCCTCTCTAGCCCTGAGTTGACTTTTCCATCATTATAAAATCTATTTTTAATAGAGGTATTCTGTTCTTAAGCCATTCTAATTGCCGCTCCAGCTTTCTTATGATTAGTACTTACATAGATATGGGGGGGGGGGGGGTGGTATCTGTATGCGTGTGTGTGCATGTGTGTTTGTGTGTGTGCTTGTGTGTGTGTGTGTGTACGTGATTTTACTGTTAATTTATCTGCGCTTTTAAACTTATAAGTGACTTTGGTAAATAGCGTAGTCTTAGCTTTTTCAGTTCAGATATCTCTGCCCCCTTACTTGGGCAGACTTCGTCCATTTATAATTAATGTAAATGAGCTTTTTTTCCCTTTGAAAATCACATCAGGTGTACCCTAGAGCCATCTTCACTCTGGTTTCGGAACCGTAAGCCCTGGCTTTCCCGAAGATTCGGCCAAATGCCCCTCTCTCACGCCGGGTGCAGTCTCCCCAACTTCAGGCCCCTACTGTCAGTGTCCTTTCACGGGTCTGCCTCTTCCTGACGCTTTTGCCAGTTTGCAGCCTGCTTCCTGGGCTCTCTTGCTGGACAGGACAGCTTAGCGGCTCGCCAGGAGCCTCCTTGGACAGATGTCACCTTTCCCTCCAGACTGAGACTCTGCCCTGAGATTTCCAGTCGCCCCAACAGCTCAGTCCCCCTCACGCCCCTCGTCTTCTCAGCTCAGTGCCACTGCCAGCCACTGCCCCTCTCGGGCTCGGCCCCACACACCGTCAGGAACCCAGGAGGGGCTGCCCTCCTCTGGAGAGCAGAATCCTGTGCTCGAGTTGGGGTTGCACCTCTGAAAAAGTTGGTTTTTTTCTAATAGTTCCAGCCAGTTTTTAATTGTTTGTAGCAGGAGACTTGTTCAGTACAGACCATCATTAGAAACAAATCTTACCATGTGTTGCCTGTTTCAGTGTATAAAAAGTTATAGGTTTTACCCCCCCCCCACCCCACACCTTTTTTAGCAAAACATGGGCTGTCATCATTATATGAAACTTATATAAAGATTAATGCAGTTAGTATTAAATAAGAGTATGATGATTTTGTGGCAAAATCAGGCATGTTTCACTCTTTTTTAAGAGTGTAAAGCTATAATTCACAGATTGGACTAGAGAAATCATCTAATCAAACTCACCTTTATGAACGATGAGAAACCGATTTGATTTTGGATCACGTCTAGGGGATGAGTCTCTCTGAGCCCAGGTATATTCCAGGCTTCCTCCATCTGCCCACTTCTCTCTCTGTTCTCACAGCAGTGTTTCCCACCCCTGTTGGAAATAAACTTTTAACTTGTTAAATACCATAATTTTTTAATGGATTGATTGTTCTGTGTATTGTTAATCTTGCTGTTAACACGGGCATGAGCAAATATATTTCCTAATAATCAACTTTTGCGGAACCGTCTAAGATCTGAGAGAGGAGCGGTTGGTTCTTGTTCATGTGATTGGACGTTAACATACTTGTTTGTCTGCTTTTCAGTTTGTTTTCCCTGCTGTCCAAAAAACACAACAAAGTTCTGGAACAAGCCACACAGTCGTTAAGAGGTTCCTTGAGTTCCAATGATGTCCCTCTACCAGATTATGTAAGTAGCAGCCTTATGCGGTGCATAAGGTTCTCCTTTTGTATGGGCGGGAGGGAACCTGGGGACACTGGTGGCGGGAAGCTGACACTGGCAGTGGGATTGGTGTCTGGATATTTCATATCTAACATTCAGCTATGAACAACTTCGTAAGTCATGGCACTTTAATAAAATTTTTAAAAACAATATTTTTTTTCCAAAAGGGGAAACAGTAAATGACAAAAAGGAACTGCAGGGCCATAGTGATAGTGCAGTGGAGAGCACGTTTGCCTTCCATGCGGCCCACCCAGGTTCAGTCCCTGGCACCCCGTATGGTCCCAGAACACAACCAGAAGTTGAGTACAGAACCAGGAGTGACCCCTGAGCATTGCTGGGTGTGACCCAAAAAGCAAAAAAGTAACTGCATTTTATTGTCATTTTATTTTTGTAAACATATGCGTAAAATTAAAATGGTAAATTGCCTATGTATAAAGAGATTTTTCTTTTCTTTTTAATTTTTATTAGTGATACATCTTGAGGTACAGTTGTAGACTTACAAATTTTTGTGCTTGGGTTTCAGTTATACAATGATCAAATACCCATCCCTCCACCAGTGCCCATTTCCCACCACCACGGATTCCAGTATCCCTCCCACCCCCCACCCTGCCTCTGTGGCAGGGCAATCCCTTTTGTTCTCTCTCTAAAGAGATTTTTCTTTAATTGCTAAGTTCATTAACAGCAGTGTCCTCAAGATCTCACTGTGATCTCGGTGTCCGAGAAAGCTCCAGTCTGCAAATAAAAAAGCGACATCTTGAATCAAGGGGAAATCTTTTCAAGAAGAATTATTAAACAGGAGATTGAAGAGAGTCAACTCTAAAGCTGTAATTATTAATCATTCATAATTACGAACCTTATTACCTTAGTCAGGAAATGCACTCTTAATTGAATCGAAGCACGGGGGATTGACAGAAGCTGTGCGAAGTTTCCTTCCAGGGGATGCCAGCACAGTCCAGCCGAGTGCTGCCGAGGATGGACCTGGGGGGGGAAGGTCACTGGTCCCAGTGTGGCCTCCTCTCTCTCCCTCTCCTCCTCTGCTGGGTTTTGCTTCCTTTCCCCACTGCTGATGCCACTCGCTCTCAGCCAGGCCTCCTCCCTTCAGAGCACCCCGCTCCCCCACGCCGAGGCCCACAGGCCCTGTTCTGGTTCCTGGCAAGGAGCCGCTGTTGGCCCCTGCTTCAGGTCAGCCGGCCACTCTAGTCTCGCCACCCTAGTCAGCAGCAGACGGTGCTGTCCTGCCACCTTTGTCCCATCCTCTTTCTAGAGGGGACGGGTCAGCACCGGCCGCAGGAGCAGCAGGGGTGGAGCAGGGCAGCAATGAGCATTGCAGAATAACGGGAAGGGCGCCTTGGGAGTTCCCGAGACAGTGCTTGTCAAGTGGGATTTCTTCATAAGTTTTGGAATGGGGCTTGGATGGCAGGCAGAGAGGCAAAGCCGGGGCGGGGGCCGGGGTCCAGTCCCAAGAGCGTTCTTGTCTTAAGTCACGCAGGCCGTTCATTCCTGTCATAAGGACCTTGCCAAATTGGCTTTATGCAGGCAGCACCTAGTGAAACGGTTTGAGAAATACAGTCTGAGAGTTGGTCGTGGCCGTGTGTACCGCCGGATTTGTTTGGCCAGCTCCCTGTGATGTGTCTTCCTTTTCTTCTTCCTGGTGCTGATAAAGCCTGGTGGCAGCCCCTGTAGGTAATAGCTGCTGATGCCCAGAGTACTGCGTACGGCCTCGCCTGCACGGTGTCACTTCTGTCTGTCTGTGTGTGTGTGTGAGTCTGTGTATCTGTCTGGCTGCTGGCTGTATGAAGTTTCAGCTTGTCACCCCAATTTCCAGAGTCCTTTTACTCTGCGGAAAAGAAATAAGCCCTGAGAGATAGTACAGGAGGTGGGCACTTGCCTTGCATGCACCTCTGGCTCGTGTCAGTCCCCGACCACGCTTAGGGTCTCCCCTCCCACCGGGGATCACTCCTGATCAGGGCCAGGAATAGCTCACCTGCCAGGGATGGCCCATCGTCACCACCTCCTGCAGACACACACACACACACACTATACACACTTCACACACACACACACACACACCCCAAACATACTGCACACACAAAATTTCTTTCTGTCTGGGCCAGAATAGTATGGGAATGAGTGTTTATCTCTGCATGTTTTGTGAGTTTCCTTTGGTTTCGGTTTGGTTTTTGCACCACCCGTCAGTGACCAGGGCCTCCACCTGACTCGGGGTCACTCCTGGCAGAGCCTGGGGCACAAATGGGATGCCAGAGATCAAACCTGGGCTGACCATGTGCTATTCTATCTCTCTCGCTCCAGTTTTGTGACTTTTATATAATTATCACCTTGATTTATGTAAGATCCCTACTTCATTTATCCCCCAAAAGATAAAAAACTGAGTTGATGGGTTTGATAATCCCCCGAGCCAGCTGGAGTACCTGCATCTTCCACATAGTGCCAACTGCACAGTCCTGCGACACTTCTGAGGCATCAAAGGCCAGAAAACTGATGGTTTGTTTTTTAAAACGGTAATAATACTACTTGCATTGAAAGGACAATTGAGCTTGCAACAGATGTATTGAATTCGACTGTTAAACTTTTTACGGTTCTTAGGGTCGTGCATGAAACTTTCACGTAGTAAAGATGAATTTTAAGTAAGCATCTTCCTTTCTTTAGGAAGTTTCATTTGGAACCTGCCATCGGACATTTGTGTCATTTTCCCTGTGGGTTCGTGACGTTGAATCTTGCCGTCTTCCCTGGGACTTGATTGAAGTGCGAGTGTGATGACGGGTCAGTGGTAGCGACGGCGGCTGGGGCTCGCTCCAGCCAGTGATCTAAAAGGTGACTGAGGAAAACAGGAGCCTGGAGAGTCAGCACTGCCCCGCCGTCTGTCTACCCCTGATAGTGAGCGTCCCCGTGGTCATTCCCCAGGCCCATAACACTTTGTGTGATTACACATTTGAAGCCCTGCTCTCTTAGCCGTCCTTGCAAACTGGCCGTGAACTGGGAAAATAAAATATGTCCCTCCCTCCTGCTTCCCCAGAAAGTTTTCAGAAGTGTTCTTGCCAACAGCCACATGAAATCCTGCGTCTTGGACTAATGCTGTGGGCCATTTGTTTGTTAAAGATGGAAGAGGAAAAGCAAAGGGTCTTGAATGTTTCGGTGGATCCCCTGAGGTATACTTTAGCAGAGAGTTTGTATAAGTACTTTGAAACCGGGTCATGTTTTCCTCTTGCCTGCAATACATAGAGGTCTCTCAGTCTATCTAGAGGTTTCTCAGTTTATTCAGAAAATGTTTATTCTCATTCTGCTGTAAAATTCACAAAATCAATTGAGTAACGACCTAGTAAGCAAAACGCAACTATAAAAACATAAGTATAAGCAGCTCGGTACAACCATGTTTGTATGCATATCTCGGGAACCCTCCGCCAAGTTCTTGATAATGAGGCACTGTCCCCTTGGCTCAGGGGAACTAACACAGGAATTGTAGACACGTCGGGAGGGCCCCGGAGCACTGCAAACTCCAAGGGGCAGCCCACGAAGCCCCACGGAGCTGGCTGTGCTTTGGTGTCTTTCTATCAAGACCTCATAAAAGTCAGCACAGTGACTAATGGACCAGGACATTCGTAAAAGGAGACTCTTTAAACAGTCTTTGTAAAAATAAGAATCAACAGCTCAGACAGCGTTGGCCCTAGACAAGATACAAGAAATGGAACATAATAAAAGGATCGGTTAGAGTTGCTTATTCAACTGCAACTGTGGTTTTAAATTCGTAAAGAGGGTCACAGTGTCTTAGAAGCCGTTGTTTCCCTAATTCCTAGCAGTCCATCTCAGTGACTATTTTCAGAGGAGGAGATTTTTATTCCAGGTGGAACTCTAAGGAACCGAGTTATGTTTCCCTTTGATCTTCAAAGAGCTTTTGAGTCTTTCCAAAGAACTAACTCTGAACAGCAGGTGCAAAGGTGAAAAGCAAAAAGACCCTGGTCCAAAAGTGCAAGCACCAGACTGAGTAGAGATAGCTGCAGCGGGTGTTCATGGTGGAAGGCACCCGGGCCCTCCCTGGCTCCTCTCCTGTCCGCAGTGGGCCGGCCCAGAGGCCATGGATTTGACAGCCCAGAGAAAGGACACCATCCATTCCTGTGTTTCCATTGTTTTAACTCATCTCAGGTGAGGCCTGGCTTTATTTCCCGTACCCTAGGACCCCCAGGCACCTCTTGGTCACCTCTCCCCCACCCTGCCCCAGTAACGATGGTAGCAACAAGGAAAAATATGTTAGAGCCAGAGGGTGTTACGATTGCACACACAGTCATCACACCTACAGTCATTGCGTGCACGCGCGCGCACACACACACACACAAACACACAGTAATCGTTTTGCATTAGTCCTCTCCATCAGAATAAAACTGAATGCATGTTAAAGACATAAATTTCTTGCATTCTAGTTTTTTTTTTACTGTGTTTGGCATATCGAATACTCTCGGTAGCTTGCTGGGCTCTCCGAGAGGGACGGAGGAATCGAACTCGGGTCGGCCATGTTGGCCGCTTGTAAGGCGAACGCCCTACAGCACAGCGGGTAGGGCGTTCGCCTTACAAGCAGCCAACATGGCAGACCCGAGTTCGATTCCTCCACCCCTCTCAGAGAGCCCGGCAAGCTACCAAGAGTATTCGATATGCCAGACACAGTAACAACAAAGTCTCCAATGGAGACGTTACTGGGCCCGCTCGAGCAAATCGACGATCAACGGGAGGGCCTTTACCTTTACCTTTTAGTTTTTTTTTTTAAAGAGTAAAGTGATCCGTGGTTCAGTGGCCCAAGCACACTCTGTGCATGTAGTAGGAAACCCCGGCTCAGTTCCCAGCACAGCGTGGCCCCCTGACACAAAGCCAGAGTGGCCCCACAGCTCTGCTGGATGTGGCCCCCAACCAGACAGGGAGGAGGAGGCTGTTTACTAACTGGTTAATAAGGGTGAAGCCCC